ATCGAGTTGTGATTGCAGTTCAATATTTGCGATTTCAAGATCCTTTAAATGATCAAAGTCCTTTTGTGTAAATCCCCCTCGAGCGGGTGACCTTGCTCGCGCTCTTAAGGATGGAGATGGCATCTCTATACCGCTGCTGTATCCATTCATTGATTCATTATCACTGTCCTCCATCCAATCACTTCCTTCTTCTGGAAAAGTTTCCAGTCCTCCTATTGAATTGCTTGGCGGAGCCATTCGTGGAACACCTTGTCTATCTCCCGGTCTTCTATATCCGTTTTGTTGTCGTTTACGATTGCGGACATTTTGTAATTGAGCCAACATTGAATCATATTTTGCCTTTAATTGGATATTATTTTCCAATAGACTTTTACCGATTTCCGCAGCAAGACTTATATCTTTTAATAATTTAAGGAAAATGAGTCAGATCAGAAATTGCACAGGATTTACAACCAAGATGAGATTTAAAGAGCAAGTGAAATTAATGAAAATCATTGTGAGAGAGATGTTTTAAATGATGATCATGCAAAGGTTTGATTTATAATTCCCGTCGATTTTGGTTTTAGACAAGGTGTGATTCGTGATGAATATAATTTATTATCGTCATCAGAGTCACAATCATCATTATCCGCATCACAAATAATTTTGCATTAAATCGCATTGCACCTTAAGCCTCCCATTTATTTGTGTCCCCGCTTTTTCTCTATAATACTATAATCAATCAAACCATTCAATAATCACCTCTCTCTCTTTCTTTCAACATAGCCGTTAATTCGGCATGTGTTTTGCCGGCATAGAAAGAATCCGGAACTGTAGATGTCGGTGAAGCCATCCCACTATAGACAGGTGATATGGGATTATTTGGAGTACCATTAAATGATGGTAAGTTGGATAAATCGAGCGATAATCTTGAATTTTTGTTTTGCTTTGGTGTAGGAGGAACCATACTAAGCATCTTCTTTTGGAATTATATATATATGTGATTTTTTATTTACTAATTTATGTATGATTGTTTGTGTAAATGAATTAAAAAGATTTTTTTTTTGGTTAGTAAAAGAGATGAACTACTGATGTCATAACGTATTTTCCCGAATTGTGAATAAAATTATGATGGAGTTAAATAATAATAATCCAAGTGGTTGATGTTTGATTATCAACGAAAGGGGTTAAAAGAGTCTTTTTATATAGACTATAATACGTAATGATAATAAATATGATGAAATTCAAGGAGAGGCAAGTCAGGTAAGGGGCTTTCTCAAAGTTCAAAAGGGTATTACAGGCTACTTACTATGAGATAGAAGTCGTGGTTACTTTGCGTATTCACTATGATTTACTATATTACAAGAGTAAATACGCGCGCACACATACACACACACACCAATTCAAATGAAATAATTGAGAGAAGAGTCCAGCTTTTTCGGAGAATTCAAGTTATTATAGTTGTAATAACTAGTCTCTGTTTGTATTTGCTTATCAAAGAAAGATGAATAATAACAAAGAAAATTAAGAAAGTTGACGCGCGTGTTATATTATTCTTTTCGTCGTAACGATAATTAATTAAAATAATGAAAAAAAAATATATCAAATAAATATATCAGATATATATATGTGGATGATAAAGAAAAACGAGGAGATTACAAGAACTCTAATAAAAAAAATAAGAATAATAATAACAATAATTTTATTATTATTATTATTATTATTATTATTATTATTATTATTATTATTATTATTATTATTATTTATAATAAAAAAGCACGAGCAAAATTTAAGAGTACATCAACAAGGAAAAAGTGTGACGCCCCTTTTTTTTTCGTTAAATATACATATATATGTATATATTGAATATGTAGTATAAAAGTATAAAAAACCTAGCCAATACTAGAAACAATATGAAACGTATAATGACGATGATAACAGGAAAAAAAGGTGGTGTTGTGTTCGAGTGTTAAGGGAGCTGTTTCTGTTGTTTCTCTGTTCTCGAATTTAAAAAAGGGGAATCAAAAATAAAAAAAATATTCCGCGCGCGCCTTTTTATTGAATTTTATATTAGAATAGAATTGAAGGTTTTCTCTTCTGCAGAAACACGGATAATAAAAATGTAGTGTTTTTGTTTTGGTGCGTGTGTGTGTTCACTTGTGTATGTGTATGTGTGAACGGCCAGCAGTAATGATAGCAGGGAAATGATGATAGTATAATAATGGTAATGGAGTTAATGCAAGATAAGATGAATGAGAAAAAGTCTCTTAAAGGATGAAATTCAAAGGGTATGTGTGTAGGTGTATGCCTGCTTGCGTGTGTTTGTTTTGGATTGGTCTATGTATGTATGGTTGGATGGATGGGGTTCTTTGATGATGAAATATAGAAAAGAGGCGCGTTGACTGTACTACTTGTATATTCGAAAAGTTATAAGGTCGAAATCAATGGCACCACTAAATTCTACTATAAATATCCAAACGCAAAACATTCCTTTTCCCCAAAGCAAATTTAGAATGAAAAATTCAAACTTACTTTTTCCCTGATAGTTGATTCCTGAGTTGAAGCGAATTTTAAATTAATCGATCTAACGCTCGTCTTATCTATTTTTTGTGGATCCCGCTGATAATACACAACAAAATTGTATATTTGACCGATAATAATAACTCCTTCTTCTTTGTGCAGTGAGTGGAAGGGAGAAGTGTATATGAAGAGAGAACGTAAAATAGTAAGAAAAGATTTGGGCTAAAGACGACAGCGACGACGTTTTATGATTTTAATTTGACTTTGTTATCGGTGATAATTATGGGTGCCGATTTCTATGTCGGTGATTAGCCACAAAAATGTGCGTGCATGTGTGTATGTGCAAATGTGTGCATGCTTTTTGTTCTCTTTTTACTATGAATTAAAAGGTAAAGAAAACACAAAAGAAGATACAATAAGATGATGATATCTTGATGCACTTCTTTAAGGGATTGTGGCGAATTTTGTTTAAAGTGTTGATCATTATTCTTCACCGACAATCTTCATCTCAGAACGTTTTAAGCTATTAATGTAATAACGGTTTCGTTTGACAAGAACTCCATTTAAATTTCAAATTTGAAAATAAACTCTACCACTAATTTAATTGCACTTGTACAATGTATCGATACATTATGTTAGGGTTATTGCTACAATGATTTTCGTGAATAGATATTCGGTCAACAATTGTGCCAGCTTTCGTTCACAATAATTTATTCATAAATAAGAATTCCCCTTACTTGCACACACATATATATTATACATACTGCACTGTAATGCATAATTTCTGAAAGGCCGAATAGAAAAAAAGTAAATGAAAAGTATCTTTGTCAGCGTTGTTCTTTTGTTTCATGTTCCCAAGAAACATAATTTCTATCTATAGATCAAGATAATAAAATGCTCGACCTTCGTAACAATATTCAGCAAATGGCAACCTCTAAATTTGTGCATTGAAGTAATATCAGAAACAATCAAAGAAGTTAGATTACCAAAATGTATTTCGCTTTAGCCTGATAAAAAGCCTAATCACGCCGTAATGGCAGATTTTGAAACAAAGGCACTAAAAACTATAGTCGGAATTTTTTCATTCTTATTCCGTTTAATTGCTTTTAACTCCACATTTTTGAAAATGGTATGACAAAATATGACTTCATCTTTTGTTACAGCACCACCATAATGTATAAAATAACACAAAAATAAAAAAGTAACAATAACAATAATAATAATAATAATAATAATAATAATAATAGTAATAATAATAGCCAATATTTCGTCGAATATTATTCTTACACAAATTATCAAAACTCTTGTCCTTCTCTATTACGAATTTCGCTAGTCCTCTTGAAAATTATACACATTATACTTATTTCTTCATATGTCAATCGTGTAACATAAAATCATTTGCCAATAAAATATCATGGAAATGAACATTCTTATCGTATTGTCTATCCCGAAGGTCAAAAGATAAAATTTGCGCCATTAGGGGAAGAAAGTTTGTTGACAATCATGATTAATCATTATGATTTTGAGAACGGGGAAGAAACTCATGATTAAAGAAATGACGTCCATACTTTAAATAAGTAATCACGCAAGAACCATTCTTCTGAAATTTGGGTAATTATCGATTTCATTTTCGGCCTATCGCTATTGTTTATTCCTCATTAAATTTCTTAAATTAAAAAATGGGTTGATATTAATGAAAAATAATTTGTATTGAAATAAATCGGGGCTTGGGATAAAATAGATAAATAAATAAATATATATAGACAAACACAAATAAAATCACGAAGCCAATTTACCTAGTTTTGGTTTTGGGTTTCATAATATTCCGTTTCCTTTTTTTCACATGTCAGCCATAATAACTATTAATTAATTAATTAATTGAGTTAATTTATACGCGTAACAAGAATAATAGTTTACATTTAATCATCACATACACATATTCAAACCCCCGTGTACAAACTATAAATAGTTGTGTGGAAAGGTTAATGCTTTTTTGGTAGGTAGTATAGAGAATCTCCATGATTTTTTAAAATTTATACCATGTTCTTTTTTGTATGAACATCAAAAACCTGATTTTATTGAAAATAATATCTCTGATTTTTGTGTTTTACACATTTAAAAGGTTAGAAAGAAGCATTCTTTCGTCCTCTTTGAATTTTCCTGTTTATCGTATGACATGCCGCCCTTTATACCTGCCTGGCTCTGTGGTCAAAAGTGTTGAATGGATCATTCACACATTATTGATTTATTGGTTCATTAAAATTGACAATCATGTTATTGAACTTCTCTAAAAAAAATTTTTAATTTTGAGAAAGAGAACAAAAGGTTCTCTCCACCTTTTCAATTGCTGTCTTTGGTGGATGAACTGAAGCGTGTACGTGTGTTTGTATTCTGTGTGGTTATGTGTGTCGCACCAAATTTATAAATAGTATGGAAACAACATTATCTTTATCACAATCAAAAATAACTAATTTTCCTTCATAATTGGAAACAAGTAGCTATCAAGTATTTATTCGACATAGCCTCGTCATTTATTATAAAAAAATGGTAATCTATAGACATTTCTTTTTTTTTTGGTTTGAATTCGTCGTTATCAAGAGGAAAAAAAACATCACCCCAAATATTATCAATCAATGTTACCGTGAAGAAAAAAAACATGCCAACCTTTGAAAAAAAATTGATTTAATCTAAGACCAGTATTCAATAATAGTGATTTGCTAAATTATAAATCATGCACAACATGTATACACAAAGAGACAGGGAGAGAAATATAGATGCAAAGGATATCCCGATAATCGCTTTAAAAAGTAATGATCTTTGTCATTCCCGTAATTTGCCTTGTTCTTCCTCTCCTAGTTTCCTAGCTTTCAACGGAAAGTTTAATCTCAACGTTATTATCTGACGATGATAATGGATTTTTGCTGCTGTCAATGATTTTGTTTTCACACGAAAACCACATGAGAATGATGCATAAAAATTCATTTTTCGGAATCCATGTAGATACATACATGCGTTCATGCATTTTTTTCATGCATTCTTTTTATTCATCAAAGAAATTCAAATTTGACATTCGTCTTCATGCAAAAGTTCGTCTCATCACTACTATATCGTGTTTTATGTGCAACTTTGATTTGATGCACGCTCATACACGAAAAGTGCACACGCACGCGATTATAAATAAGTCGTGTACACGCACACACACAAGTAAATTAATCACAGACCCGAGTTTGACAAAAAGGGAGAGGAACAGGAATCCTAAGGGTATACATGTATTTCCATATGTCGTAATATGGAAAATTGGCCGAAACAATAAGAAATAAGAACACCGACAAGGACATCGAACAAACGGGTGTTAATAAAAACGACACATAAATGGCACTGTGGTATCGAAACACTAACATCATGATCAGAAGGAATCCTATTAATTTCTTATGATATTTCGTGTATGCGTGATTT